CCTCCGGCCCGGATAGCCTCAGCCTTCACAGTCCCGCGGGGAACGCGTCCAGCAGCGCAAACATTCCCCCGGAAGCGGTGCGGAACTGAGCCGGAAGTCTCCGCAGGCGCTGGGTGTGACTGGAGAGGCAAGGCTGTGACCTCTTCCGCAAGCGCCCCCTGGCGGCAAGCACGGAGAACACACCAGCCGGCCGGATTGAGGTCTCGGTGAGCGGGAGCCAAGTAAAGATGGTGTTTGGTGAGGGTTTGTCTAGGCATGATGGCGGAGGGTGGGACGACTTAATGTTTCTTTCAACTATAAGAAAAGCAGTAGTGGAAAAACAGACCGAGAATGAAGGTCTTGGTTTTACCTGTTTTTAACAGACCCATGGATATCTAAGTTGATGACAATGAACTGCACATATTTATAGAGTGAAAGTTGATCGGTTTTCAGTCTCCGTGAAAGCATCACCAAAATAATAAATGTATCTATTGTCCCTAAGTTTTTTCATGCCCCTTTTCAATCCATCCCGATTTGCCATTCGAACCCACCCATTCTCAGGCAATCACTGATTTTTCTGTCACTGTAGTTGTATAGATTATTTTCATAGATTTTACATAAATGAAATAACATAGCATGCACCTTGTCTTTTTTCCAGTCAGCATAATGACTTTGAGCTTCATCCATGTCGATGCACGTGTTAGTAGTTTATTCCTCTTTATTGATGAGTAGTCTTCTATTTAATGGGTTTATGGCAGTTTGTTAACCTACTCATCTGTGGATGAATATTTGGATTGTTTCCAGTTCTTTACTATTATAAAGCTGCTATGAACATTTGTGTATATACATCTTACTATAAACATACATTTTCATTTCTCTTAAGTAAATACCTAAGAATGAACAGGAAGGAAATTTTGAGAGTACATGCTGAGTTGGCTTTGACCTCAGATTAGAAAGAAAACTCATGCCAAAACCAGTTTGGCTCAGTGGATAGAGCGTTGGCCTGCGGACTGAAGGGTCCTGGGTTTGATTCTGGTCAAGGGCATGTGCCTTGGTTGCGGGCACATTCCCAGTGGGAGGTGTGCAGGAGGCAGCTGATATATGATTCTCTCATTGATGTTTCTGACTCTATCTCTCTCTCTTCCTCTCTACAAAAAAAAAATCAATTTTATATATATAACTCATTCCAAGAGTGAATTAATGGCTTCATTCATTTCTTCCTTCATACATTCAGCATATATTTGAGAATATCAAGATGTTTTAAACTGTTATGTATAAAACATAAAAAGATGAGTTCCATTTCTTTCCAGAAGCATGTAGTTTAACTCAGTAGTTTTCAAAGTGTAATCTCAATACAGCAGCAACAGCTAATCTGTATAAATGCAAGTTCTCAGGCCAAACCTACACTGACTCAGGAACTCTGAGGATGCAGTCAGCAATCTATTTTTAATAAGCCCTCCCTCTAATTTCAGTGATAAAATTTGAAAATCACTGATCAACAATGACAATAGAATTATGAGCAAAAGGCAGTGGGAGCACAGTGGATGAAATGCTCGGTAAAATCAGAAAGGCTTCCTATCACATGATCTCACTTATTTGTGGAATCTAATGAACAGAATGAATTGACCAACAAAATAAATCCAGAAACAAGAAGGCATTGAAAAGAGGAAGTATTTAAGCTTAAACTTCAAGAATGTATAGAAATTTGCTAATGCAAATGCCAAGTATTACACATTCCATATCCATTTAATACCATCGTACCACTTTGTTTTATTTTCTTCTCTTAGTATTAATAGAATTCTTGCAGTTAGACCTGAAATTCTAAGCCCTCTGACAATAGAAATCTCAAGATAGGAATTAAATGTTCCCTTTCCCCAAAGTTTCTGAAAAGTAAATATTCTGCATCATAAAACAGTCCTTGCAAATGTTATTTCTAACAAAGGATTCTTGAAAGATTACCAGACTTCAAAGGCTGTTGCTAAAATGTCTGTAATTCTAATTGATTATCTTACATAACATGTACATTGAAATCTGTTTTCTACAAGTTAGTTTTGAACACTTGAGAGATTTTTTTTCTCATAATCATGGAAGAAAAATGAATAAAATCTGGGTCAACTAAATTTCTTCTTTGAAGAGGAGTCTGTATCTAATTTAAATTAATGCTAAGTAAATAAAATAGAGGCAGGAAAAATAACAAGGACACTATGCATTGGAGGAATGAATTCTATAGCTTTTCAGTACAAATCTGGAAAGGTCAAAAAGAAGGCTAAATGAGGAGACAGATAATGTGACATGGAGTCAGCACATCCTTTTGTATGTGATAAGAAGCTATCAATGAAATGTAACATGAACGAAAAAGTAAATGCTTAAATATCCATGTTAGGAAGTTCAATATAGAAGGTGGATTGGAGTGGCCTAGGAAAGTATATGGTAATTAGTACCTTGATCCAGCATTATGTGATTTTTACCCTTTAAAACAAAAGTCCAGCCAAAACCGGTTTGGCTCAGTAGATAGAGCATCGGCCTGTGGACTGAGAGGTCCCAGGTTCGATTCCGTCAAGGGCATGTACATGGGTTGTGGGCACATCCCCAGTAGGTGTGCAGGAGGCAGCTGGTCAATGTTCCTCTCTCATCGATGTTTCTAGCTCTCTATCCCTTTCCTCTCCCTTCCTCTCTGTAAAAAAAATCAATAAAATATATTTTTTTTTAAAAAAAAAGTCCAAACTGTAATTTGAAACTTTATTTTTAAAATATTCTGAAATTTGAATTTTTCAAGATTCTTAACCATCATTTACTTTTCTCCAACACATATACAGTTTTTCCTAAAATTGTAGAACCTATTGCAGTACAAAACAAGAAATAATAATTCCACTAACTAAGCTAGTCAAATTACTTCTGTAAATAATCATGCTACAGCCTGGAATCATCCAAAAGAAAAATTCTTCTAATTCTCTTTAAAGATATTTGTAAAGTTTATTTTTCAGAAAACCAAAATAATTGATTCAATAACACTATCCACTCTGGCATGCAGCAACTCATCATTTAATATTAAATGTTTAATCTTTTCATGGATGTATCTTGTTTATTTACACTCCTATAGTTTCCACAAGAAGCTTGCAGTGATAGTAAAGGTAAATAAGTATTTTGTTACAGGTACTTCAAATAGCACTACAATACATCTTTGACAAAATTTTTTTATAATATTCCAACTTTCAATATGAAACAGTTTAAAAAGGCATGGGCCAAAAAAAAGTATACTATCACTTAGGCAAACAAATTCTAATAATCATACAACACTCTTAAAGACTCTCCCTGTTTAGGCTGGGAAAGAAGTATATGAGACATTTACTTCAAATAAAATTATATTAGCAGCTTAGGAAAATTCAAAAATACACAATTTCAGACATATTAAGGGGAAAAAAACCATCTTGAACCTTTATTCTTAGAAAGTTTGAACCAGTTATTACTTGCTTTAATGTAACAGATGTGTTCTTGAAGTTTTGCCTAACGCAACTTCTATAAACCACCATGCTTGCACTGGAAGAACGTACCTTAAGGAAACATAAGAGAACTTACTCTTTAAAACATGACTCTCCTGCACTTTTGTACAACATTGGGAATTTTATCTGTACTGTTTTGTGTCTTTAAACCCGAGTTTCTCAAAATTCACTTGTAAAACAGTAAACAGTCCAACCTTTTCACACAAAGTTCACAGAGTAAATTCAAAACTTACAATTGTTCATTTACTCGTTCTAAACTGAGGGCTTGTCACTGTATTTAAGTGTGCTAGAATAAGTACCCACCTATTCTTGTCACCTTTGAAAAATAATGGTTATTATTTTTTAATTGCTAGGAAATGCTATTCTTAAAGATTTTATTTAAAAATGACAAGTATGAGGGGGCAATTTGTGATTGTAAGTCTTTTATAGTTTAAGATAAAATATTTCCCAAATCATGACAGTAGTGTTTAGAAGAATGATACCCTCAATTCTATAAGCATCTTATTCTTATCAGGAATAATTACCTTAATTAAAATAACAATTTACTAAGGACCAAAATAACATTCTTTTGCATTAGAATCTTGTGACTAAAAACCATAACTAGACCAAATCACTGATTTTTTTTTTTTATCAAACTTAACAGAATAGACTTAGTTAAGTCATAGGATCACTCAATGAGGTATTAAAAGAAAGTTTTACTGAAATGTAAAAATTAACTACTGTCATTCATGAATAAGCAAATAGACGAATTACATTTATTTCTCTGAAAAGATAACATTGCATACATGTTAGCAAAAAGATTGTGGCACTTGGACAATGTCCCTGATAAATAAACATGTAAATGTGTGGATGTGCATCTTAATCTCTCTGCTTTTATTTTGTGAAAGACAACACCAGATTGGGCAAAAAAGTGATTATAATCACCTGTAAAAAAGGTGAAACTACCACAGAAACCTAAGACTAAATAGCTTGGAAAAGACCAGGGAAAATAATGCTATTTTGTCATCCATTTTCACTTTTATCACCTTTTTATTTTTTAAACTTACAATAAAAAATTTGCAATGGAATTTGAGCAACAGGTGAGCAAAATTGTGCTCCCATGTGAAATATAAAATAAATGAAGTATCATGGAGCTCTTTGCTGTAGCCAAAAACCTATTTTTACATATCTCTAAAAAGAGATGACATGTCTCGAGGCATAATTCCTTTAAAAAACAAATGGGCTGAATTGTTTGTACTGCATCATAGATTTACACTTCCAATAAAGCCAAAGTATGTATTAAATAAAACAGATGCTTACTTATTAATACTTTATACCATCAAATCATGTTCCTTCTAAAAATATGGCTGTTCCCAAAACATTGTTTTAATTTCCTATGTATCTTACCTTACTGTGCAGGACAGGCAACTGCCTATAAAACCATTCAACCTAATGCAGGCCTTCTGATGAAAATTTATTTTCCATTGATCAGGCTTAAAGAACAAGATCACCAAAGAGACCACAAGTTAGTGGCTCTGTCAATTACATAACCGAATTTAAGATTAGGTTTTCTTGTGGTTGTTCCTTAAAATGAGTAAGTTGATGTCTCTTCCAGTGAGGGGCCTGTCTGAATGTTTTCCCACAAACTGAGCATTCGAATGGCTTCTGTCCTGCATGGATTAGATAGTGTCTCTCCAGTTTAGATGGAGATCTAAAACTTTTAGAACACACACTGCATTGGTAAAGAAGGCCATCATTCCTCCCAAGATGTCCTGGATAACTGCAATGACTATGATGGCTCTGCTCTGATTCCAGAAGGGAATTAGAGAGATAGGGCTGCCTGCTCCTGGAGTGGGTGTCAAGAATTAAATCCTCTGATTCTGCCTTAACTTTTATTTCTGATATTTGATCTGACTCCAAGACCTCACATTTTTGAAAACTAGGAGTCTGGCATCGTTGGGAAGCATTATAGTTAACATTATCACCCGGAAGAGTGAAAAGTTTGCTCAAATTGTCAAATTCTACTTGGCAAAGAGATCGTCTGTAAGGAATCTTTTCAATATGAGTTAATTTATGTCTTTTTAAGTGAGCTGACTGTCTAAAAGATTTCCCACAGACATTACAACCAAAAGGCCTCTGTCCAGTATGAATTAAATAGTGTCTTTGTAGTTTGGATATAGAAGGAAATACCTTCTCACATTTGTCACATGGACACACCCTATGTCCAGTATGTATGTTTTCACTTGGAACTGACAAACCACATTGAAGCACTTTACAATTATCAAAAAATTCCTCACCTGATGAACCATTGATAGATATGTCTTTATTATTCACTGAATTTTCCATAATTAACATGTTTTCTGTTGTAAGGACACCTTTCAAGTTTTTTCCCATATTTTGGCTCTGGAAGTGCTTTTGCCAAGATGGCAACGCCAACATTTTCTTCCTTTTACTGCCAACTGTCTTATATGTTCCATGCTTGCCAAGAGAACCCATAAATGTTCTCTGGATTTGTTCAGGGCTCTGCTCACCAGAAATAAGATCACAATTTTTCAAGAAACCATTTTTAAATGATTTTTTCTCAGATCTAAAGTTATCTAATTTCTTACTCCCAGCATGTTTAAGCTTGGCCAAGATTTTTTTAACAATAGTTTTATAGTTGAGGCTTCTTTTGAAACTGCTTGGAATTTTGCCACTTCTGGCAGGAAAACACTTGTGTCCATTGAGAATCTTCTCTGATTCAAAACATTCTTCACACTCTGGACACTGAAAAGGAACAATATAAATAGAATGGACATCAAGTTGATTAGTCTCCTCTGATTCACCTATATCACCATTTTCAAAACTATCCTGCTTTGGAATTAATTTATTAGGTAGGGGGCATGACTCTGGACTCTTCTTTTTTAATGAAAGATTCTGAAAAGATTTATTTCTGGTATGGATTTGTTTGTGCTTCAGAAGTTTGCTTTGAATCTTAAATCCTTTTTGACAGAAACAACATTGAAAAGGTCTTTCTTCTGAATGTGTGAGTTGGTGGATTTTTAAATGAGTCGACTGTCGGAAAGATTTGCTGCACAGGACACATTTAAAAGGCCTCTGACCAGTATGAATAAGTGCATGCCTATCAAGTTTTGACTTCGATGGGAACATCTTGCCACAGATTGTACATGCATGAATATTCTTTCTTTTCTTTGCAGGGCTATAGGCAGGATCAGACTTACTAGAGGGGTGTAAGGCCCATTGCTCCTCTGAGGTAAAAGTAGGATACATTCCATACACCGGCTTTTCTTGCTTGGCCTCCAACAATCTTCTAACCTGTTTAACATCATTCTGGTAGGTTTCATTGTGAAGGTGTTGGTGCTTCACAAATGTCTTCAGATTTTTAAAGTGGCGTTGACAAATACTACATTTGAAAGGCAGATTATGAGTTAGTTGATGTCTCTCCAGGTGAACTAGTTGCCTAAAAGTTTTATGACACGCATCACATTCAAATGGCTTCTGACCAGTATGAATGAGATAATGCCTAGCTAATTTTGATGGTGTTTCAAAGTGCTTGAAGCAAATATTGCAAATATATGGCCTGTTTCTAGGTAGCTTGTTGGCTACTACACGCTGTTCAGTCTTTAGCATTTTTAAATTGTTTTCAGCCATCATATTCTTCAATGATATACTCTGATGAGCTCCATAGTATTCTTACTCTCCACAGATGTCTAAAAATAAAAAAATAAAAATGTATTAATTTAAAAATTATTCATATAAAAAAATTATTATAAACTGTCTTTTGGCTAAAGATATTACGGATATGGGGGAGATCTGGACTTTTCTTATGTTTAAAAGTTAATAACCATTTTGGATGAATACTTTAGAATCATAAAACTAATTTCACTCACATAGAGAAGTGATGAGTCTTTAAAAGAAATATTTAAAAAACAATATAATTTCAAGCTATATTTCTAATTAAGATGATACACTGCCCTGCTTGCTGGCATGGCTCAGTGGTTGAGCATTTACCTATTAACCAGGAAGTTATGGTTCGATTCCTGGGTAGGGCATATGCTCGGTTACAAGCTTGATCCCCAGTGTGGGGCATGCAGGAAGCAGCCGATTAATGATTCTCTCTCATCATAGATGTTTCTATCTCTCTCCTTCTCCCTTCTCTGAAATCAATAAAAATTTATTTTTAGCTAAAACCGATTTGGCTCAATGGATAGAGCATCGGCCTGCCGACTGAAAGGTCCCAGGTTCGATTCTGGTCAAGGGCATGTACCTTAGTTGCGGGCACATCCCCAGTAGGGGGTATGCAGGAGGCAGCTGATTGATGTTTCTAAGTTGCTCTTCCTCTCCTTTCTTCTCTGTAAAAAAAATCAATAAAATATATTTTTAAAAATATATATATATTTCGCCAAAACTGGTTTGGCTCAGTGGATAGAGTGTCGGCCTGCAGACTGAAGGATCCCGGGTTCGATTCCGGTCAAGGGCATGTACCTTGGTTGTGGGCACATCCCCAGAACGGCGTGTGCAAGAGGCAGCTGATCGATGATTCTCTCTCATCGATGTTTCTAACTCTCTATCTCTCTCCCTTCCTCTCTGTAAAAAATCAATAAAATATATATATATTTTTTAAAGTTTAAAATATATATTTTTAAAAAGATGATACATTAAAATGAGACTAAATTGATTTTTCAATATTTAGTTGTTTATCACTTTAAAATTCTTAAGTGTAAGAATGAAAATATGTTAATAATAAATGTATTTGCATTCCGTTACAGCATATTATGGATATGATTTGAGAATGGAATATTTCATTTGTCAGTTAGACTTCTTAGCCCCATCACTAATACTATTTACTCTCAATTACTTCTTCTTTGGACCAAAAAAGATAACATGTCAACTGAGAGAAAATGTCCCAGAAAACCTGGGTTCTAGTCTTGGATTTGCCACCATATGATCTTGGTGCCAAGAAGAAGGAAATACAGATTCCTTATCTCTAAATCAGGAAAATGCCTCCTGATGATTTGCACGTGTTGAAAAACTATAGTGATATAAATGTTAAGGTATTATTTAGCTCAAAACTGATCAAATTTTAAAACTTTATCCTACTTAATATCATTTCTAGGTTTCCTAAGATATAAAAACATTAATTAAATTTACAGTTCTTTTTGTTTACCTTTCCACTTTGTTGTAGAATCCCTAAAAGACAAGTACAGAGGTAAGGAAGTCCACAAACTAGTTACATATATACCTATCTATGGTTAAAAGTAATTGAAAGTTGAGTGTGACACACCTTTTAAGCACATAATAAAAGGATCATTTTGTTTTTAAAGTTAATATAAAGATACAACTTTTCTTCTAATATACCTCCGTAAGACACATAGAAAAGGCACTTCCACAATCATCTTACATTCTTCACAAACATCCTCCCTTTTCTAATGAGAAAAGCCAATTTTCTTCTCATCTTTCTTCTATTACTGCATTCCCTTTAAATAAGGGAGCCAGAGATTTACAAAACAAAACAAAAATTGTTCTAGCTTTCTCATTCTAATGTTGCATCTTCTAGTTGAGATAAGAGAGATAACAAGTTTACCAGAAACTCAGGGTTCCTCTGTCAGCTGATTTAGCCAAATCCAGCATATATGCTATTTGCTATTTACTGTCCTCTCCTAGAAGACGCCTTAACCACAAAATCACAAACACAGCCAGTGTGGTTCTCTTCAGCAATCTGAATCAGAAGAAAAAAAATCATAATTCATTTGTTGAGCAAATATCTTCTAATAGTTGCTTTATCGCAGTGTTTTTCAAACTGCATGTCAGTATATATTAATGGATTGTAAAATCAGTTCAATGGATATTAATCACCATTTTTGTTTCATAAAATAGAGTAGAAAATATCAGAATGCATAACATGGAGATTTTCAATTGGTGTATACCCTTGTGTGCTGTAAAATTTTTAAAAACATGCAATATCTGACTACTTAGTCCCAAAATAGTTATCAAAAATCTCATTAGAGGCCAAATATCTGACCTCTTTTCCCTAGACTGTCAAATTAAAAAATGACAGCAGCTAACACAATAGTCATCCAGTGTGAATGAATCAAAATTATACCTATTTGTTTTGTAAGATTGACAAAAATATGTGTTTTGGTGTGCCGCAGAATTTTAGTAATTAGTTTATGTGCATCATGAAATTAAAAAGGTTGGAAATCACTGGCATAACATATAGCAAGGATGAAACTGCTTTGTGAAACTTCTATAGGAAGAGGTAAAAAAGTTTGTGAAAGCTGTTCCTGGCATACTTCTTCACACACTACACAGAGGAACCCACAACAAATCAATTACTTTATTCAAAGTGACTAAGTAATCTATTAAGTAAGATGACAGACAGTCCATGCCGGACCAGTTTGGCTCAACGGATAGAGTGTCGAAAAGGGGACTGAAAGGTCCCAGTTCGATTCCGGTCAAGGGCATGTACCTTGGTTGCGGGCACATCCCCAGTAGGGGGTGTGCAAGAGGCAGCTGATGGATGACTCTCTCTCATTGATGTTTCTAACTCTCTATCTCTCTCCCTTCCTCTCTGTACAAAATCAATAAAATATATTTAAAAAAAAAAAAAAGATGACAGTCCATAGGATGAGCCAGAATTATAAGGAAGAAAACAATGTCTGGTTTGCCAATATAATCCCAAAATAGTTATCAAAAATCTCATTAGAGGCTAAATAAAATACCCCTGTCGATCAATCAGGTGTTAACATAGTCAACCAAGACCGTGAGCCAAACTGAATGGAGCCTTTGTTTCCTTAGCAGTGTTTCCCAAAGTGTGGTACACATACCCCCAGGGGTACGGGAAGAGTTTGGTGGGGGTACACGTTGCACTGGGAGTTTGGTGGGGATATGCACTGCACTGTGCTTAGCTGCGCCTAATTCTACGTTCTCATGAGTATGAGGGGTACTCAGTATTACGAAAATTATAGAAGGGGTACACATATGTCAAAAGTTTGGGAAACACTGCTTAGGGCAACAGTACAGGAGAGAAGCTAAAAGAAGTACTACGGGCTCCCTGATGGTCTACTAAATGGAACCACACTAGGTGCAGCGCACGCAATCACCTTCCTGTAGAGGAGGCCCACACAAAAGCTTCTGCCTCCTTATGGACCTGTGGGCCAGGCTAGGAAGGACTAGGAGTGGAAAGGAAAGGTCCTGAGTCAAAATGCAGAAAAGTGCATCAGTCAAGGCCCTTCCCTCCCAATAAGGTCATGTAAGTGCCTCAGCCAAGGTTCTCAGAATGGAGTTATCTGAGCCGGGAATGCAGCATTGTGTGAGCGAATCCCTAGATGCAACTCCCTCCAGAAAACTTCAATGCATTGACCATGCACATGTATGTGTCTGTTTCATAAAAAAAGAGTAGGAAATATATTTTTCCATCTCCCATCCCCTGGCCAGCCAGGCAAAGTCTTGCAATCGTCTATGTTGGATCTGAAAGGTCACACAAAGGATTTTGACCTGGAGCCGGGCTCCTCAATCCCTGTTGTGTATTTCTCCTTCTCTTTGTATCTATGAAATACCTTTAAAAAAAAAAAAAAAAAAAATCCTACACTAGACCCACACACAAACTGCCATCTCTGATTATAAAAGGAATTGACTACCTACAGCTCCTGCGCCAAAAAGAGACTATGGTTTATCATCTACCACTAGGACTAAGACTGGTTACAATTGTCACTGATTCGAAATCATTTGCTAGGAGCCCCATATTGTTAGCACTATTGGTGGCAAGCAGTGACCTCATCTCCTATTTATAAGTGACAGCTCAGGGATCCCATCGCTCCAAGTGCAGTCCACCACGTCCTTATACAGGGTGCATATATTTGATACAGGTCCAAATCCTACTTCAACGGATTCTCTATGCTCTCAGTTAATTCTTTTGGGGGGGAAAAAAATCTACGTAGTTTTTCCTATATTAAACTGAAAACAAAAAAATAAAATAGCAACTCTCAATGGTTCGATCTGAAAATTATCCGAACAGCAGCACGACACACTCCGTTGTAAAGGCTGGTCTCAAAAACTCCAAAGTTGCTTCAAGGCCAAAAACCTGTTGGTTTTCTTAGCTTTCACTGACGCCATGAAAACGAAGTGAGCATTTCACAAAAGTCAATGAAAAAAACAAATAAATGAAACACCTGAGAACACTTTCACGGGGGGGAGGGGTGGAGGGGAAGAGAGGGGAGGAGAGGGGGGGAAGGAGAGGAAAGGGGGGGAAGGGGAGGGGGCTGCACTGGGCAGAGGACCCCGACCTCCGGCTCCCGCCCTCATCGCCCGCAACCAGTGCGCACCTGGGGGCTGAGCCCGGCACAGAGATCGCCGAACCCCACACCAGGAAAGGAAGGGCAAGCAAGGGTGAGAACCGTTTTTGGCCGCAGCCAGGGAAAATACGCCTCATGCGACAGGACCCGTCCCGGCGAAGGAAGAGCATTCTGTGCGGGCCTCCCTCTCGGCGGCTCCCACGCCCAGGGAGAGGTCAGGGCGCGGGGAGGCGGGAAGGAACAGGCGCTAAGGTCGCGGCGCCCCCGCTCTGGGTCCCTGAGCACTCGGGAGGAAAGGAGGCAGGCCCGACCCTTCCTGCGGCTCGCTCCACCTCACTCCCGGGCCCCTAACGTCCTCCT